TATTTTTGGTAGGTAAACATTAATAAGGGTAGAATTGTACTTCTAACCCCTAAAATGGCTAAATTTCATTATTTTAAAAAACATAACTATATTTCATCTTTCCTTCAAAAAAGGGCTACAAAACCCGGATTCTATATTTTTTATACCACATAAATTTTTATGTGTCATGTGACAACAAAATAGAGCAGTCAAAAAACATTGAAGATGCTCCATGAGGGTTGAGGGTTGTGGACCCGAAAATTTCCAAAACTTGTCTCCTATTCCTTTCCTTTATTAGGAGTAAAATTGACCGGATCGTTAAGAGCATCTTTAGTCATACCATTTTATAAACCTCCATAAACTTTACTTTTACATTTCCCAACATGCCACATCATCCAAAACTTCATCCTTACTCCTACACTCATAAACCTCCAATAACCATAAACCCCATAAACCTCATTTTTCATGGTCCTACATGTTTCCCACTTACTCTTATTTAATATTATACAATTTATACTCTTATATTTTTATTAATATTTAAAACTATAACTCTACTTTTATTTTTATTAAATGTAAATATTTCATATATTTATAAAAAATATATCTAAAAAAATAATATAATTATATATAATTGTATTGCATCATTTATAATTATATAGTGTTAAGTACGTACGAATGTATAATTTTACTTCTAAAAATTACGAAACATAGAACTTAAATAGTGTTGAAAATTAAATTTTGAGTACAAATCATTTCTAAATCTTAATCTTGGGAAATAGGTTCATTCCAAATGTTAATAAAATTATAACAAAATTAGTTGAATTTTACAAAAATAAAATTTCAACTTTGTACCAATAAAGTTAATAAGAATCAATTAACAAATAATTCTTCGTTTTCATTTAAATAAATAATCTTTAACAAATAAGTCTTCTTTTTACGTGGTGGGGCTCAACCATGGAGTATGGACAATTAAAAAAACAAAAGGTAAGACATGTCAGTGGAGTAGGTGGGCAACGGTAAGGTTTTGGACAGGTTTGAGTTTGTAAAACTGATGAAAACTCAAACTTCAAACCTGCCTACTTTAACCATAAACCAGAGAGGTTTATGTTTTCAAACTTCCCAAAAACCCACCACTAAAGATGCCCTAAGTAGCAGTCAAATAAATGTACCAGGCTGACGTAGAACACTCAAAGGAGGATATGAATTTAAAGGCTGCATTGATAGAGATTAAACTTAAGACATTTGCAGAAGAGGACATGATCAATTTAAAGGCTGCAATACTGCATTGATGGAGGAAAAGTTCAATTAAAAGATAGTTGCAGAAGTTGTCTACGTCTACAAGCAAAATTCCTAAGCAAAATTCCTAATTATACGGATAAAAGCGAAGGCCAATTGCTACTGTACTCTTATAGACACAACACAATCATAACACTACTAAATAAAGTACAATATACAAAATTCAAACTTCACTTTGGTCCAAACTTTTAAATTTACCTTTTGTCCGGTTGAATAACGATCATGAAAACAGTCAAAAAGTAAAAAAAAAATAAAAAAAATAATAAAAAAAAAAAACTCTCCAAACCGCCTTGAGTAACTGCAATAATACTTTCCACATCAACAAACCGGCGAAACCGCAACAATCAAGGCTAACATAATGAAAAAGTAAAGGGCTATACTCCAATAATCTCTCCCTTTCCCTACGGTTAGAGCCATAAAGTAAAGACGATTACATATAATAATAGGCCGCACTAGTACTTAATTTCTTATTTACTACTAATTAATCAATAATTATTGGGTAGAGAAAGTGAGGCCACAATGTGGTAGAACTGAAGCTTTTCCTTGAGCTCCTCTGCCCTGCTGGCAGCCCGGACCGCCACACGGGCGAAGAGTATTTCGCCTAGACGGTCACCAATATGCGCCTCGACCAGCACGCCAGCCACGCTGCGACAGGTGTTGGCAAACGAGCGGCCGATCTCCACTGGGTCGTCTGGCCGAGCCACCACAAGTGGGCTGCCGCCTTTGAAGGTTTCGAGCCGGTTGATGATAAACGAACCCTCAGCTTCCACCACCTCTTTGAACTCGTCTAGGCTTGCCGCGTAAACCGGAATATTGAACCCGTCCCTTTTATCACTAGTGATCAGCTCCTGGAAACCATACAATATTATCTGATTACTTAAATATATACTAATAATTTTATTAACATGGTATGATTATATATAGAAGGTTGGTTTCATAGCAAATTAACTGATTAATTATAGGCTATCTAATTAATTAATGCAAATCATAAAATTTTTTCACTCATTTTTTTTCAATTAATGGAGAAAAGAAGGTTACATTTTATATCAATTATGTGTAATAATATTTGCAAACTATTTTATTATGTGGTTAATGATAATACTATTACTAACTAAAAAAATAGTCAAAATTTTAAAGTGTAGTAAACCTATTATCTAATTTTAATTTCAAATACATGTGCACAGAAATCGAGTGTATAATTCAATGTTTGTAGCTAGGGCTAATTAAGTAATCATAAGATAGTAGCTAGTCAAGTTATATTATGGAAGTTGGATAAAAGTTGAACATATAATTTGATTTGCATTATATAATATAATATTTTCTTATTACATAGATTATTATACATAGATGTCTATAAAGTTAAAGTATGGGGGGCCGGGACTGGGAGAGCTAAAAATCAACTTTCTCAACTAATACTCCACTAGACATGATCATTAAATTCTGGTTATAATTAATGTGCGACACGATCATTTTGACCTGGGAGGATATATCATATTATCATGTATTGACTAATTAGGATGTGAAAGTAATATGATTTGACCGATTGATTAAACCTGACTTAATTAATAGTGTATATGATTAGACTTAATTAATTAGTGATCTATCTATGTATCTATCTCTGACTCTCCCAGTCCCATGATTGAGTAGTGTTACCTTACTCACATGAATATTAATTATGATATTATATATAAATGTGAAGGATTTATTATTAATTAATTAATTAATTAATTAACCTGTTGGACAAGATCCTCCCAAGCATCCTGAAAATGGGTAGCGAAGAGAAGGCCGGCCCCACCTTGATCGCTTGGCTCTGAACAAGTCCTTCCCAAGCAAACCAAGAACATGGAACCTCCTCTCTTCATCTCTTTCGACCTTGCTCTCAAGAACTCAGTCAAGTCCCACTCGAATTGTTTCTTGTACGCATTTACGATGCTTTCATTTGCGCCACGGATGAATACTCTACCCTTATTGTATGCCATCGATCTCTTGTCCACCACCACATCTGGAACCTGATGAAAAACCATATATGTATATTTATATATGCAGTTTAATTTTAGGTTAATTAATTAATTTGCGTCTATTAACTCAAATCACATTGCTTAACTTGCTTTTCAATATAGNTTTTAATTTCTGATTAGCAGGCTATCTAAATCGTTGGTCCTACAAGATCAAAACAAAAATTTTAAAAGATTATATTAAGTAATCGTCATAAATACGCATTTTCTTTACCAATGTGACAGACGTCCGTGAACCAAGTTGTCAAGTTGACATGTTTAAATTATTATTAATTATTGCAGATAATTTTAATTATCTAAAAGATTAAATATTATTAGATCAAGCCCATATATCCTCATTAATTCCGACAAACTAAATAATAATTAATTGACCCAAATCTTAATTTCTTTCGCGCATTACATTAAATGTAGCAAGAAAGAAATAGCTAGACACGCACGCGTCCAGCTTATAATAATGTAGGGGTCTATCCGTTCACAGATAGTAGTCCTAAATAGTATTAATGAAACGATCAACAGACAAAAGGAATGAAAATAAATAAATATAAAAAGATATTAGCAATGAATAATTAAGTAAGTACCTGAGACAGCCAGTGCAAGGAAAAAGCCGAATAAAAGACATCAACTGATTTTGCGGGAAAAAGGCGTCGGTAGAAAGAACCGGGCACCCCAGCAGCAAAGTAGGAGCGCGGGGGCAGCAGCTGGAAAAGCGTGTTGAAGTCATTTGACGGCAAATCGGAGAAGAAGGCAGAGAACTCAGGGGGCCCACCACAGCCAGCCGCCTCATAACGCTCCACCATGTGCTTGATGATAACTTCCACCACGTGTATGGTGTTGGTGCCACACGAGCACCCGAGATCTGCCACCACAAACGGGCCGTCAGTCGGGCCCAGGGCCACCCTGTCCAAGGCCTCCCTCAGCAGGTGGAGCATCGATCCAGCATGTTGAGCCTGCAAATTAAATTATTAAACCTCCAAAAATAACAATGTATGTAAATATAGTTAGGTAGTGATTACTGAATGCAAAATGGAAAGATAAAATTACCTGTGCCTGGGAGTTGTTAAGGTAACTAGCTTCACCTTTGCCTCCTTTCATGCTTAGCATCCTTTCCAGCTTCAAGTTCGGAACTACAACGTTTTCGCCAGTCATGGGAGCCATGTGAATGTAATTGTTAGCGTAGATATGTTACTAATAAATATAATAGTTTTGACTCACAAGGATTGGGTTATGTATGTGGAGAGGATAGATGAAGATAACTGACCGATGGGGGAGCCACTCTATATATATATATATGCACAGAAATATGCACAGGGAGAGACATATGATATTGAGTATTTTGTTGGCATATATTTATATATATATTGAAATAGGTTGATGGAAAAATTATTTGTAAAAAGTTATAAAAAAAAAAAAAAGGGAGTTTGTAGTGCCCCATCTGATTTATCGTATTTTTATTTAGCTCAGCCCAGGAATCCCAACTCGCGCGGCCCAGGAGAATGGAGACGGCCCAACCCGAATGGCCTAGTAGTGTAGAGGAGGCAGGACACGCGGGCCGTGTTCAGCCCGCGTTTTGACCCGCGCAGCCCGATTTCTCTATGCAGCGTCCTGGCCCGCGAGCCCGCGCCCTTGGCCAGGCGGCCCAGTTCGACTTTTTGGCTCGTTTTGTGTACCGGGAGCTTGTTTTGCATGCCAAACCCATTTATAAAAATTTATAATAAAATGAGAAAATTCAGGGAGATTATTTTAAGTCCCGAGACCCCATTTCATTCTCCGGGGCTTATTCTTTTTAAAATTTTGAGAGTTTCAAGTCCATGAAAAATCCGATAAAATCCCTTAGGGGGCGCTTGTTTATGGAATAATTTGTTCAAAATGAGTTATTTTAGTTAACTATAGTTAATTTTGAAAAAGATGGTATGGTTAGTTGTTAGTGGAATTTTAAGAATGTATTAAAATAATATTTAAAATAAAATGATTAAAATTAATTTGATGTAAAAGTAGGAGAAAAATGATTGAAAATGATTGGAAATGATAGGTAGTTAAAATTATGTGAGTAGATGAATAGTGAATTAAAGTTATTAAAGTTGATGTGATGTGTAAGAATGATTGGTTTGTATAATCTAATTATATGAATAATATTAAAGATAGTGGGGTTGAGTTAAAGTTGAGTTAGATTTTGAGTTGGATGAGAATGAAATAATTTATAAACAAGCATGACCTTAATCGTCGATTTTTTATTAAGTGTAGTTTTTCTATTATTTTCGAGTAGTAAGATAAATTATTGATATATTATCTCGATTAAATGTAGGTGTTTGAGGAGTCGAGCCTCGACCTACGTTCCGCTACTTGTTGTGCTTTGCCTACCTCGTCTATCAGGTGGATGTTAATAAATTTTACTGTACAATTATTTTTTATAATCGCTAGATATTATAATCAATGTATGCGTGTGAACCATGTAACATTCGATGTGTGAGGTTCTGACCTTCGATACGGTTATCCTCGTCGTCGTGTGCGGTTTCGACCTTCAACGGTGTCTAATAAAAAGCAGTCTCCCTTAACCTAATGAAAGGCCTTGTCGTTGTGCGGTCTCGACCTTCGACATGTACTCCCATTGTTGTGTACAGTGTGAGGTATCATCTCATGTGACACTACCGCATAAGGCATCAAGTGCCATCATCTTCTGGTCGTCGTCCTCGATCATGCTCCACAGAGCCCTGTCCTTCAACTTGACCTTCATCAGGAGCACTCAGTCGAAGTAATTGGTCTTGGTGAGAACGAGATAGCTACCCCTACCGGTCACCTCACAAATCACTCGCTGGATAACAGCGTCGTACTTTGAAGAGCCTTCGACATTCTTCTTCCCGCTCATGGTCCCAGGTACGAGTAGCTCTGATACCACTTGTTAGAAACTCGCCAGCAAGACAACACTCATTCGCCGGCGAGATTACGGCCAAAACACAAGAGACAAAAGTAAGTCACGCGAACAAAAAAAGAACACGCTCTTGTTTGGTGCTTTTGAATTGACACATTTTTTTGTGCCATTCTATTGCTTATATAGAGTAATGAGGAGCTAAATAAGGCCTACAAATCAATATTACATGTAGAGATGTTAAACGGGCTAACCCTAGCAGTTTCGGGCTAGCCTTAGCGGGCTTCAGGCTAAATGGTTCGGGCCTAAAAAGCCCGAATTTATAATAATAATAATAATAATAATAATAATAATAATAATAATAATAATAATAATAATAATAATAATAATAATAATATCAAAAAATATCAAAAATAAAAAGAATAAAAAAATATATAAAAAATTACAACAGCTAGTTAACGGAAGTTTTCAACGGCTATGTAGTATTTACCGCTATATATATACAACTACACATCATATATGAACACACATTACAAACTCTTAAATAACATATTTATTTTGTACTATTACTTACAATTATTATTTTACTACTTATTTTGTACGCTTTGGGAATTTTCACGATATATTATCATTATAAATTCTATCACTATGTTTCATGTGTTTCCTATTAGTCATTCTGATTGAGTTAAATATCTTGGTGTGAAGTACAATAACAATATTGTTAATAATTATCTTTCAAAATTATAATAATCCATTACAACACATCTGGCCCGCCGGGTCCACGGGTCGCAATTTCATGACCCTTGACCGGCCCACATTTTCTAAGGGCCGCCCTAAAAAAAAGTTTGTTTATTCTGGACAAAAACAAAAAACAAAAAAAAAAGTTCTGAACCAAAATCAAAAGCACGTATTTTCTAAATACGTTTTTTATGTAATTTTAATTGAAAAACGTATTTACAAAATACGTTTTTTAATTTTTTTTTTATTTTTTTTTTGTCCACTTGTTTTTTTATTGTTTTTTATATATAAATTTCCCATAAAACCACCCTCACACTGTGCAATCATATATCATTCAATTATGGACATGACCTCGTCATGAATTAAGATAAAAACGACAAGAAATATATATAGAAAGATTCATGGTCATGGAATAGAAAATGGGCCGCACATGCATTTGAAGAAAGCAGGCCCAAGATTAGTGCCGGATTTTCGTGAATGAATCTATACGTAAGGGGTAGAAAAATAGTGCAAAAACAAGTGCTTTGTGCTTGAGGAAAAACTTGTGATGTAATATAAAATGAAAACTAGTGCGAACCCCTTATTTGAATTAAAAAACGTGTATAAAAAAAGATGTTTTAAAACGTAAATATATATATTTAAAATTTTTATATAATTCAGAAAACATATATATTATCACTTATATTAAAATAACATGTTTTATTGCACTAGGTTTTTTCACTCAAGTCTTAAAAACTCCACATTGCATCGTATAACTGAGCATGATTCAAGGTGGCTTTTGAATGGATATAATTTAATATTTGTCTTATATTTGTATTAATCCATGACCTTGCAAAGAAGTAGCGAAAACCACTTTGGAGAGTGCATAGAAAAGCATTCCGTTGAGGTCATCCTTGAAAAACTGGAGTAAGTTAATTTTTAATCATAATATTTGTTCGATATGTTCTTCAGTTTCGAATTACAATATCAAATAATCTTACTTAATGTTTTTTTTAGAAGGGTACGTTGATATCATTCTTGATGCATTGAAGAACTCATCTTCGGGCGACCCGCATGCACGTCGTTATTATCCAAATGTGTCGGGTGAAAACTTTTGACGACAGTATTACATTAATATTAATTTTTACACTCTTATATATACTATAAATGGTTTACTATAAAGATGTTTACAATTGCCTCTTTTCATATGTTATTTAGGTGTTGTGAGAATTGCCGGTGACGAGTTTACAACAAAGATGATAATTTACAATTATATTACCAAGATCCTCGACTTCAACGAAAGGTAATTATTTGAAGGTGGACACTCCAGTCATGCTTCTGAGGAACATTGATCATTCAATGGGGTTGTGCAACCGTACACATTTGGTTATCACTAAACTCAGCAACCATGTCATGCAGAATTTTAACCGGTGCCACAGCCGGTGATAAGGTTCTTATTCCTAAGCTCACAATCATCCCTTCGGATTTGAGGGTACCGTTGAAGTTTCAGCGCAAACTCTTCTCTGTCATGGTTTCTTATGCTATGACGATTAATAAGAGTCAATGTCAGTCTTTATCACAAGTGAGCTTAGAACAGAAGAACTCAGAACCCTATTTTCAGTCATATACAGTTGTACATGGCTCTTTCTAGAGTCATGAATCAGAATTCAGAATACTTTAAAGATAATGATATGTGGTCATGTGGACTCTGACGATATGAAAACTATGAATGTTGTATATAAATAAAATTTTAATAATATTTAGAATTCTTTTCTTAATTCATAACTTTTCATGAATCAAATTATAATTATTAATTTTTGTCTCTTTATATTTCTTTCTCTTTTAAAAACCGTCTTCTATCAAAATGCACGTGTTGATTACTAGTAATAATAAATTTCAACATTATCTATCCTTTACGGGCAGGCCTCAACTTCCCAATCCCAGCCCGCCTAGTCACGAGCCAGCCGCTCAATTTGGCAGCAGGCAAAGCCCCTTTTTTCTTTCGAACAAGACTAAAAAACAAAAGAAAATCACAGTTTGGTCCAGGTAGAGCTACACCATCAAACACTCGGTCCTGGAGAGTGGAGATTCCTCGTCTTTCACACGTGAGTCTCCGCCCCACCTCGCCGCCCTCCCTCTCATCCACCTGCTTCGAGATCCCCAGCCACCGCCAGTTCGCCGGCGGCGCTGAAACTCTGGTCAGTAATCACCTTAAAGTCACAGTTTCTGAAGAAAGAGGGTTTTGAAAGAGTTCTTATTTATTGTTCTTCAAAATCATGACTTTATGGTTGCTTGAGTCAAATTTATTAGCTGGTCTGAAATCGTTTGCGTATTCTTGAGAACATGCTTAGGATAGAACCCTTGTTTAGGATAGATTTCAATTATCCAACTTTAAGATGATTTCTTTTGTGTGCTATGATTTGCTTGAAAGCCAATTAAAGAAAGCTCGCCCCCAGTTTCCTCATAATTATATATAGCTAAAACTCAAACCCTAACTGTAATATTTCCTCCCTTACATTCTAGTACACAGGAATTTTGAAATCCCATGTGAGGTCAACATTGTCGCTCACTAGAGTTTGATCATTGACCTTGGAATCAGAATTTCGTAAAAAGTTAGAATTTTGAAGATGAGCATAGTACAGAAAGAAACAATCGAGGTGATAGCACAGAGTGTTGGTATTTCCAATTTATCTCCCGATGTGTTGCCTGCTCTGGCAGCTGATGTAGAGTACCGCGTTCGTGAAATTATGCAGGTTACTGTTTCCAAATTTTCTCTTTTCCCAGAGTCAAGATACTGCTCTGAAGTATGCAATTTTGGGTCTTCAGTCTTCAAAGATTTTATATGCACATTTTTGTGGAATTCGTTACAGGAAGCTATCAAATGCATGCGCCATTCGAGGAGGACTACTTTAACTACTGATGATGTTGATAGTGCTCTCAGCTTGAGAAATGTTGAGGTGTGCCTGCATGTATACTATTAGTTTTCTCTATTTGTGTAACTTCTTGCTATTAGTTTCTTCCCTGTTTCTTCTTCTTCCTTTGTTTTCGCGCTTTACTCCTCACCCCTTCGTTTGATGTGTATTAACTTTTCCTTCACCTATTGGAGAATTTTTTTTTTCTTCGTAGTATGTTTACTCGTCTTTGAGTTTTCTTAACATTATTTTACTGATATGCACATATAACATTTATGTTTTGTTGTAATTCGATAATTTTACGTAAATCATTCAGCCGATTTATGGATTTGCGTCTGGAGATCCGTTGCGGTTCAGGAGAGCTGCAGGACACAAGGATTTGTTCTATGTTGAAGAAAAGGATGTCGAATTCAAGGAGGTTCAGTTTGATCATCATGTTTCCTTGGATTTATTCTGGCAGTTATAGTTACATACTTACATTGTTTGGTTTGATGTATTTAGGTGATTGAAGCTCCTCTACCTAAAGCCCCATTAGACACTGCAGTGATTGCTCACTGGTTAGCCGTTGAAGGAGTTCAACCTGCTATTCCAGAAAATCCTCCTCCTGAAGCACTTCAAAGTATGCTCAGTCGTGCTCAATGTAACTCAATTCTAGAACACACTTGTAATTGTGGGATAGTCTTCTCTTAATCCTAGGATAAGCAAATTATCTTTTAACTTTTTGCTATTCGAAGAAGCTAAATTTGATGTCAATTCATTTAGGATTTCTTGAACTTTTTTATCAAAGATTGATTAGATCTTTTATATGTCAGCGCTTTCGCTGCCTTCTGATAACAGAAAGACTGAAGTCAAAGAGGAGGGAGTACATATTGACGTTAAATTACCTATTAAGCATGTCCTTTCACGAGAACTTCAGGTACTGCTGACAGCTTAATATGCTTTCCTTAATGTCTACAAAAAGCTATGCACAGCTAATGATTTTCAACTGGTGTTGCAGCTTTACTTTGAGAAAATAACAGAATTGACTGTCAGTAGATCAGAGTCTCCTTTGTTTAAAGAAGCCCTAGTGAGCTTGGCAACGGACTCGGGGATCCACCCATTGGTTCCATACTTTACATATTTTATTGCAGATGAGGTAAATGTAACTATTCATTTGTTTTCGACGAATATTAGTACTTGATGATAAACATCAATCTGTGAAAATGACAGGTCTCTCTGAACTTGAGTAATTTTTCTCTCCTTTTTGCCTTGATGCGTCTTGTTCGGAGTCTTCTTCGAAATCCACATATACATATTGAGCCTTATGTAAGTTACGTAATGCTTTACATTTCAGTTTCTATTTCTCCACTCTGTCATCTTAATTTTGTAAGTCGCATTGTAACTTTTTCCTACCACGACTTCTACATTTCTTGTGTTGCCTGATATTAATTTTTGTAGAGTATAGTCTAGTGATTCATATAGTTTCACTTGCGGTGTGCTTGTGGTGACAAATTATTACATCTTGAACTCATTCTTGCTTCTTTGTCTCGGTAAAACTGAATCTTGGATTATTTTTTTTTTTTGGTTTAGCTTAGTTTGTGATTGTCCTTGGGCATGTTCTTTGGTGACAGACCTTCATATGAGATATGCTGGAAATTTCAAAATCCAATTGATTAATGATAAATGTTACAAATTGTTTGTCAGAAACATAATGCTTATATTGATTCTTTCAGTTTGAAATTGACAATTATGCGGAGTTGCCACATTAATTCTATGTTTATGTTCAAGTTCGGTTTTCTGACATCTGATTTCTATGTCATTAGCTGCACCAATTAATGCCCCCCGTCATGACATGCCTGGTTGCCAGGAGATTAGGACATAAAAACTCGGACAGTCACTGGGACCTTAGAAATTTCTCTGCAAATCTGGTTTCTTCAATATGCAAGAGGTGGGTCTTGTCAATATGCAAAGAGGGTGGGAATTTAACATATTTGCATGCAACTAACATACGACTTTTCCATTGAGGAATATGCCTCAATGCCATGTTAGTAAAATAGATAAACTCTTAATTAATGATTATGTTTGCCCTGTTGTACATTTTCAGATTTGGCCATGTTTATCACGACCTCCCGAAACGTGTGACCAACACACTATTGCATGCATTCTTGGATCCTTCCAAGGCCCTCCCTCAACATTATGGTGCTATCCAAGGGCTAGCAGCCATGGGGCCTAATGTGGTACTTACAGCTTCTTTGTTCTCCCCTTTCCTCTATCTCTGTGTGTGTGAGTTTGCATGCTTAATTCTCATCAAATATATAATTTAGGCATATTAACATAGATCTTTCAGTTTTTTATGCATTCGAGTTTTTTAAAATTGTTGGATAGGTTCGGAAGCTTGTTCTTCCCAATCTTGAGCCTTATCTGTGCCTTCTAGCGCCAGAAATGCAATTAGAGACGCAAAAGAATGAGATGAAGAGACATGAAGCCTGGCTTGTATATGGTGCCTTAGTGGTAAGATTTGCTTCTAACATACTGTCCAGTTAGTTCTGTTGATCTCATTTACTGCGAAAGGATTCCAGGATATGTGGCTTGCATTCAAAAATCTCTTTCATCTCGTTCGTATCTACACGCAAGCCTCAGTTGGCTTCAGCCTGATTTGTAATATGAAGTTGCAGTATTTGCAGTATACTTAAAATACTCAATTCTCTTAATTAAACTTCGATGTAATTATGCACAACACAAAAAACCTAGTGGTTGGCAACAGCTCTGCCCAATCGTTTTTATGAAAATGACTTTCATATATGCTTCAGTTTGACTGAGGAGTTATCTTTGTCAGCGTGCAGCTGGGTTGTGCTTGCACGATCGCATGAAGAGGCTGCCTTCTCTACCATCTCCATCAGCACATACTGTCTTGAAGAGTAACAACAAAGTCCTGACGACGGTGTCGAGTATGAACTTCTAACTGGTTTTAATATTTTGATGGTATTTTTGTTTGATGACATTCCTGTAACTGGAACTGTGGATAAGACGAGAACAGATTTTGCATTAAGATGTTTTATCAACTCTGAAAGGTGATTAGCAGCTGCACAAATTTTATTTTCTGTATAATAAAGGTTAATCAATCAAACCACAGGCAGAAAAAAATAAATGTTTGTCTGTCTGTCTTCAAATGTTTTCTCTTCTCTTGAGTCACCTCTCGATTTTCTTAGAGCATAAATGTCCCAATTTTCTCTGTTCAGAATTCTAGTCATTTATGCCGACTAAGACTGATAATTTTGACTGTTTTGAACTTGTCAAAAAGATAAACGTAAAGCCAGCATGGATAACGTAATGCACCAGCCACCACTGAAGAAACTAGTGACAGACAATTCTGCCGGGAACTCACTGCAAATGGACAGTGGACACTCTAATGTGCAACAATCAGTGCCATACACGAATAACAACAACATTGTGGGGTCGTCAAGTGGCGGAAAAGAGATAATTAGTGAGCAAGGTTTGAAAGTTGTTGATCAGGCATGGAAAGATGATGTAGATGGCCAGCAGCTGTTGCTTTTGTTGTACGAGTATTTTGGTGAAAGCATGTTATCTTTTGTGCCTTCACCTGAGGCATCTTTATTCTTGTGATGTTTTAACTTTGGGGTTAGGGCAGTGCCCCGACTTTAATTAGAACTGTGCTTATATTTTGGTGATTCTCTGGTAAGTGACAGATTATGTTATGTTAATGGAGATGGTTTTTATTGACTATTGATGTGATTCACTGCTTCTCTTCCCCTTGAAGCTTCTTTCCTTTTGTCTGACAGGGAAATCTGTGAGAAAAATTATTCTTCGGTTTGTGAGTGGAGTGACTTTCAATTGTGTGATATTTTAAATACTCTTTTAAATGGAAAAATAAAGTATATGAAATATCTATGCTTTCTTTTTTTCGAAACTCATAAAAACACCAAAGACTGTACATCAATCGTATGTCTAACAAGACCATATACCATCGAAATGCATCTCATAGAAACACCAAAGATTGTACATCAATCGGAGGTCTAACAAACACCATATACCGAAGTGGTCTAGAAAAAGCTTTTCGCGGTCTAGAAAAAGCCAGTTAGAAAGTACAGTAAATAGAGAAATTTATTCCAAACAATAGAGAAATTTATTCCAAACAAAATTTTTACACTTTCGGTAGACATGCTAGTCTAAGTAACAACATGTAGCTACACAGAGGACCACATGGTCACAGCCTAGAACCAAANAAAAAATCGAGCAGAACTCCACACAAAAGTTTAACAAATTGAGAATTCTACCGACTCCGCAACTACTGTTTCTAGAAAGGTCTTCGCAGGTTTTCAAAGGTTTTGAAGACCCATAAATTCTTTGATTTCCATAGCAACCATAAGATGTAGGTAGTGAGTTATATTCTTTCTTTAGCAACATCCGCTTTTTCCATAATACCCTTATCATGAGTGTAAAAGAATGACCTTTTTTTTTTATTTTTTATTTTTTATTTTTTTTTTAATATATCTTGCCTTTGAATGATATGTATTGCTACTTCTTTCGCTAAGACTATCTTCCCACATCAATCCTGTCTCGAGCCAACGAAGCACAAGAAATTGACAATATTGCCCTTCACAACCTTCGCCACATACCTGAACTCCTCAATCACCCTCACATCCGCACCGTTCCTAACCAATGGCGGGAAGAAGAGCCATGAACTCGACCCCACCACGAACCCTATCGTCAGTGGGCCCCCTACAAACCACGGCAGCCGCCACCTGTCCCGGCCGGCCGCCCCCAGACCGAACTCCGCCGCCACGCAGGCCCCGTGGAGCACAAAGAAGGCCGTCATTTCCCACGACGGCCATGCCCGGGTGACATACCAGAACAGGAGCTCGTGCATCAGGCCAGAGACGAGGAAGGACCCCATCACCGCCGCCATCGCCGCGCATCGGCCGCCGCCCGCCGCCGACCTGACCGGCCGGTACACCGTCCGGCGGAGCACGTCGTTGACGGTCAGGTTCCACCGCCGGCCCCAAAACTCGCGGAGCGAGGTCGCGAGGTAGGGTTCGTCCGAGGCGGGCTCGAGCTCCAGGCCCAGCAGGGCCCGGCCCGCTGAGCTCGAGATCTCGACCACAATGTCCACCATCAGAAAGACCAGACAACAATACGCGAGAAGCACAGGATTGGGACCGATCCTGTCCTTATAATTAGATAATATCGAAATCAAGGAGGCGGCGATGGGGATTTCGGTGGCTAGATTTAGGGGAAGTTTCTTGTGGGGCCTTGATGGGGCGTTTTTGGGTCTGACCCTAAAAGGGAGAGCGACGGTGGCGATGAAAGCGGGGATCGACGACGGCTGGGATGCGTCGAAGGCGAAGAGGAGCAGCTTGAAAGTGGCGAGCCAGGTGATAGAGAAGGCTGTGAGAGCCGTGAAGAAGGCCGAGGTGGTGTGGAGGGGAAGGGCCGCGAAAATGGGGAAAACGGGCAAAAGAGAAATGAGCCTCCACTTGCCCTGGGGCAGTCGGGCAGACACAAAATGACAGTAGCAGAGGCACGCCATAGCCACTGACCAGACACGAGTTATATTCATGATTTCGCAAGCCATTTCTTGATCTTTTTCTTCTGAAATTTTGATAGGTCTCTCAAGCCTCACAATGAGGGTCAACGAGAGGTATAAGGAGGAGATAAAAGTAGCGATTCCTTTTGCATTTAGACGTGGTCAACGTTTAATCGTTGACCGAGATTTGACCCAAGTCGGTTCAGGTTCAAACAAATACTATAAATTTTGTGAACTTTCGGTACTGGTTGGAATTGGAATCGGCCTAACAAACCATGTTATTATTATTATTATTTTTATTTTTTTTTTATACTGAGGTTATAGGCTTGCGCTTGACTACTCCTCGAGAAAACAGCTCCGGTCCCTCAGACACTCCAATTAAACCGCGGTAGCCACACAATGGCTCTCAGGTACTTAATACCCTCAACTACCCCGCGCACAAGGAGTCGATCCCTAAGTGATCGCTCGCTGGCCCTCCTAGCTCCAAGTTGGAGCCACCTATCCAGCCGCTGGTTTCCACCGAAGTGATCGCTCGCTGGCCCCCCCAACTTCATTAAACCACGGTAGCCACACAATGGCTCCCATGTACTTAATACCCTCAACTACCGCGCACGAAGAGTCGATCCCCAAGTGATCGCTCGCTGGCCCTCCCAGCTCCAAGTTGGCCCCACCTATCCAGCCGCTGGCGCGCACAAGGAGTCGATCCCCAAGTGATCGCTCGCTGGCCCTCCCACCTATCCAGCCGCTGGTTCCTACCGAAGTGATCGCTCGCTGGCCCCCCCTCAACTTCATGTTGGCCCCACCTATCCAGCCGCTGGTTCTCACCGAGTTTCAGCCTCCCACACTGTCGCTTCTAATCCTCAGTATTAATTGTTCCACCATTGCTCTCCGGGGGGCTCGAACCCTTGACCTCATGTCAAGGGGTGCCTCACTCTTGTAACTAGGCCAAGATGTCATTATTATTATTATTATTATTATTATTATTATTATTATTAATCGAGGTAGACGAACTCAATAGGGGAATGAGGCAAGAACCATGCTTTCATAAAAGTGGTGGTCAAATTCTTATATGAACTGCTAGAATAAAAACAAGCTTTAGGAAAGTGCCGGGTAGTTCAGCTAGTTAGAGCAAAGGACTAAAAATCTTTGTGTCGATGGTTTGAATCCACTTCTAAGATGGCAAAGGGTCCAAAAGACACGTGGCCGGGAGCCTGGATAAGGAGAGAGGATAGGACAATGACCGACTACCTCGATGAGGTTTCCAATGAACTTGTGCGCTACCTATATAAATTGCTTTTGAGGACCAGGGTCGATAGGGAGGGTGGATCTATATGTTCCTTTCTAATAGGGTGGTGAGTTGCAATGGAAGAGTTGAGGAGTTGAGAAGTTGTGGACCTACCTACATAGAAGGGTGAGCCTCTCTCGGTAAATAGAGAAAAATCTCTCTTCATCTTTTTCTTTTAGAAATGGCAGGCTTGACAAATTCTGTGTCTTATGTGTTGATATGCTTTTCTGTTGCTAATCTTTACCAAATTCAGTATGTATATCCCACTTGCTTAGCATTAAGAAAAAAGGCCTTAGGTTTCAGTCATCAAAATTGTAGTGCTTAGGGTTTTTCTCTTTCGAAATTTCAGTTTTTTTTATAAAAGGTTTTTATCTTCATGAGTGGTCTTTTTTTAACTTCGCCAGTGCCAGTCCGTCCTTATTGTTGCAAGACTCCGATCCAGTGATCAACCAGCCGATCTGGGCAAAAATGATCTCATCCGATAAGGAGATCAATAGATTAGCCTGGGCCACGACGAGACTCCTAGGCTTTCTTTGAGCTACTCTACTATTTTTTTTTACTAAAAAAGCCTTGCCTGAAACATAATGAGTTTTGTTATAAAAACGAGAAAGATATAGAACACAAAATAGAAACCGGATAGAAATTATACTGAATATTTCTTTTTCTTCTGAATGAGCACACTTTCACTACATTTGCATTGCCTTTTATAGGCAAATTCTACCGACACTTTGAACATAAATTATTCATATCCCATACTCCATTACTATTCACACATGTTGGACTCACTATTTATGAATAGTGGTACATTCCACTTGTTCATAACACTCCCCCTTGGAATTACCACTATGCAATGTGCGTTTATGCTGCCTCATTAAAAACCTTATTCGGAAAAACCCTGTGGGAAAAAAACCGAGATAAGGAAAAAAGAGTACAGCCGCACATGCTCCCCCTCGAGTTATCATCCATGTAAATCTCGAAGATGTCTCATTCCAATGTTATGGACGTGCTTTCGAAATGTTGTAGTTGGGAGCGCCTTCGTAAATAAGTCTGCTGCATTATCACATGATCGGATGTACTGAATCTTGATCTGTTTGTTCCTTTCAAGCTCTTGAGTGTATGAGAAGAACTTTGGTGGGATATGTTTAGTTCTGTCACTCTTGACGTATCCTTCTTTGGTCTGAGCGACACATGCTGCATTGTCTTCGAATATGACCGTCGGATCTTTATTATTTGATAATCCACTGGCTTGTTGAATGTGTTGAGTCATATTTCTGAGCCAGATGCTCTCCCTAGTTGCTTCATGCAGTGCAATGATTTCAGCATGGTTTGAAGATGTAGCAACTAGTGTTTGTTTCTGAGAACGCCAGGAAAATGCAGTTCCACCAATAGTGAAAACGTAGCCAGTCTGAGATCTCGCCTTATGTGGGTCTGATAAATATCCTGCATCTGCAAAACCGATCATTTCATGTTTTTTATCATTTGAGTAAAATAATCCCAGATCGATTGTTCCTTGGAGATAACGGAATATATGCTTGATTCCATTCCAGTGTCTCCTTGTAGGTGACGAGTTATATCTTGCTAACAAGTTGGTAGCAAAAGATATATCTGGTCTGGTGCAATTAGCAAGATACATAAGAGCCCCTATTGCACTCATATATGGTACCTCAGGACCAAGTATTTCTTCATTTTCTTCACAAGGTCGAAATGGATCCTTTTCAACATCCAATGTTCGGTTAACCATAGGAGTACTAAGGGGATTAGCTTTGTCCATATTAAATCGTTTCAGTACTCTTTTAGTATAGTTAGATTGATGGACGAATATCCCATTTTGTACTCTCTCTATCTGTAAGCCAAGGCAATATTTAGTTTTTCCGAGATCTTTCATTTCAAATTCGCCTTTCAGAAAAGTAACTGCTTCTCGAATTTCATTTGCTGTCCCAATAATATTAAGATCATCAACATAGACAGCAATTATCACAACTCCATCATGTGATTTCTTTATGAAAACACACGGACATATTTGATCATTCAAGTATCCCCTTTTTAGTAATTGTTCACTCAAACAATTATACCACATACGCCCGGATTGTTTTAAGCCATACAATGATCTTTGCAACTTTAACGCACATAACTCCTTAGGTTTTGAGTTCAGTGCTTCGGGCATTCTGATTCCTTCTGGGACTTTCATGTATATGTCGGTGTCTAATGATCCATACAAGTAAGCAGTCACAACATCCATGAGACGCATCTCAAGATTTTCATGGGTAGCTAAACTCATCAAGTATCTGAAAGTAATTGCATCCATGACAGGGGAATATGTTTCATCATAATCGATCCCAGGCCTTTGGGAGAATCCCTGTGCAACAAGGCGAGCTTTATATCTCGTGATCTCATTATTCTCATTTCTTTTTCTGGTGAAAACCCATTTGTATCCAATGGGTTTTATGCCTTTTGGTATAATGGAAATAGGCCCAAAAACTTTTCGTTTATTTAGTGAATCTAACTCGGCTTGAATGGCGCCTTTCCATTTATCCCAGTCACGTCTTTTCTGACATTCAGCTACAGATTTTGGTTCAGGATCCTCAACTTCATTATCAATTTCTTTTGATACCATATATGCGAATGCATCATCATTATTCATGATCTCATCACGCTTCCAAAGATTCCCATTGTTCACGTAATTGATGGAAATTTCAATATTTTCATTTTGTCCCGAAATTTTTCCATCATCTTGATTCCTTTTCAAATTGGAGTCAAGAATTTCTCTTTTCTTTCGAGGATTCTTATCTTTAGACCCAACTGGTCTTCCTCGTTTCAAGCGTGTCTTTGACTCATTTGGCTTATCGTCATTTGCCATTTCTTTTGGAATCTCAATTCGAGCAGGGGCATTTACGGCTACCACATGTGATTTGGTCACCCTTTTTAAATCAGTAAATGCATCTGGCAATTGATTTGCAATATTCTGCAAATGTATGATCTTTTGAATTTCTTGCTCTCTTTGTTTGGTGGGAGGATCAAGATATGATAATGCGGATGTTCTCCATTCAATATTTCTCTCAATTGACTTTTCATTCCCACCTAAAGGGGGAAACAATTCTTCATTAAAATGACAATCATCAAAACGAGCTGTAAAAACATCACCTGTTTTTGGCTCAAGGTATTTGATTATTGATGGAGATTCATATCCAACATATATTCCCAACCTTCTTTGAGGCCCCATTTTTGTACGTTGTGGCGGAGCAATTGGTACATATACTGCACAACCAAAAACTCTTATATGTGCAATATTTGGTACTCGACCATATGCCAACTGTAATGGCGAGAATGTATGGTATGCACTTGGTCTTATTCGAATTAGATCATCTGCATGCAGAATAGCATGTCCCCATACTGAAGTGGGGAGTTTTGTTCTCATTATCAATGGTCTAGCTATAAGCTGCAGTCGTTTAATAAGTGATTCTGCTAGACCATTTTGAGTGTGAACATGTGCCACAGGATGTTCAACATCAATTCCCACAGCCATACAATAATCATTAAATGCTTGAGATGTAAACTCTCCAGCATTATCCAGTCTGACTCTCTTGATAATATAATCTGGGAATTGAGCCCTTAATTTAATAAGTTGGGCAAGTAATTTAGCAAATGCCATATTTCTAGTGGATAACAAACTTACGTGAGACCATCTACTAGAGGCATCAATCAACACCATAAAATATCTGAATGGACCACAAGGTGGATGAATAGGTCCACATATATCACCATGAATCCTTTCTAAAAATAATGGTGATTCATGTCCGACTTTAGTATGTGATGGTCTCATTATCAATTTCCCTTGAGAACAAGAGGCACATGTCAACTCATGTGTTTGCAATATCCTCTCATTTTTTAGTGGATGGCCACTAGAATTTTCAATAATTCGTCGCATCATTATCGAGCCAGGGTGACCAAGTCGATCATGCCAAAGTTTAAATATTTCATTCGACTTTGAATTTGTTGCAGCATATGCCTCAATTATATTAATCCGGGTATAATACAAACCCGAGGATAAAGCGGGTAACTTCTCCAAAACACATTTATTTCCCGCATTATCTGAGGTAATGCAAAGATATTCAACTCCCCCTTTATTCATCGTTTCAATGTGGTATCCGTTCGTTCGGATATCTTTAAAACTCAACAAATTTCTTGTTGATTTTGGGGAGAATAGTGCATCACTTAATATAAATTTTGTACCGCCCATCATAAAAAATATGGCTTTTCCAAAACCTTCAATTATCTTTGCACTTCCGGATATTGTGTTTACTTTTGCTTCATTTAATTTCAAGTTCACGAAATATTTTCTGTCCTTGAGGATAGTATGAGTAGTAGCACAATCTGCAATACATATATCTCCATCTTGAATTCGAGACCGATCCATGATCTAAAAGAAAACAACATTTATTATTGATCAAATTCAAAGTACAGATACAAGTAGCTCATACACAAATACATTACAACTCAAAAAGCAAAATAAAAACATGATCATCAGTTATTCTCTAGGTCATTTCCAGCTCCGTCTTCAAATGCCGCATCGGCAAAATCCAGTTTCAATATGTCATCGATGCCATAGTCATCATCCACACGCGTTGCATCATTTTCAGAGGATTCCCCAACCATAAAATTAGTTTCTATATTCTTATCTTTTGATTTCTGGGAATCTTGGTATTTTTCAACCTCGTGCCTTGGGGCTCGACAATTTCGAGCCCAATGGTTATTTCTACCACATCGATAGCATGCCTTTTCATCGTTATCCCCTTTATTATTTTCAGAATGTTTATGAAAATCATTTTTTCCATGTCCATGATAATTACCTCGGCCAGATTTGTATCCTGGGAAAAAATTTCGGCCTCGTCCATAATTTCTATCTGGACCATATCCACGGCCACGTCCACGTCCACGTCCACGTCCACGACCACGGCCACGTCCCGAGGTATATCCACGCACATTTGTTTGGCTGTTTTCATTTCCGGTTCCCTGTTTAGATATTACAGCATTTATTTCAGGGACCGCAGTAGACCCCGTGGGTCTAGATTCATGATTTTTCATCAACAGCTCATTATTTTGTTCGGCTAGCAACAAGCAAGAAATCAGCTCAGAATATTTCACAAAGCCTTTTGCTCTGTATTGTTGCTGCAAAAGTACGTTTGAAGCGTGGAATGTGGACAACGTTTTTTCAAGCATATCGTAATCAGTTACGTTTTCCCCGCATAATTTCAATACCGAGCAAATGCGGAACATGGCTGAATTGAACTCGTTTACAGTTTTAAAATCTTGGAAGCGTAAGTGCATCCATTCATAACGAGCCCGGGGGAGAATTACTGTTTTCTGATGATCGTATCTTTCTTTCAAAGCTTTCCAAAGATCCGCAGGATCTTTCACAGTTAAGTATTCATTTTTCAATCCCTCATTTAAATGGTGCCGCAGAAATATCATTGCTTTAGCTTTATCTTGTATTGATGAATTATTTGGGGAGATTATTGTTTCTCCCAATCCCCTCGCGGCCAAATGAATTTCGGCATCCAGTGTCCATGAAATATAATTTTTTCCCGAAATGTCAAGAGCCTCAAATTCAAGTTTGACCAGATTTGCCATGATAACTATAAAATAAAACATCAATGCTTATATTAGAGAAAATTACATTATACAATCATTAATTCTCCATAACGTACAGAAAAACAAATAAGAGACACATCATACAAAAACCTAATACATAAAGTATAAATTCAGTGGTATGATACATCATCGTGAAAATTCCCAAAGTGTAAAAAATAAACAATATAATGGTAATTATAAATAGTAGATGAAACATTTTTTTTTGTTTGAGGGAAATATATTTTAGTATTTGAAATGAGTGTTAATATATGAAGTGTAGTGTGATATATATATATATTGATAAGTAGCCGTTGCAATATAGCCGTTATGTAGCCGTTGGGAACAAATTAATGATATAATATTTGTTAGTTAATCATTCATGATTATAAAATACTAATTAATCATGTATATTATCTTAAAAATTCATCGAGCCACTATGTGAACAATTTAATGAATATAAGTGTCAAAAAAAATAAAAATGTCACTCCACACTACTCGATAAATCTTTCGGTGGGTACAAATATAAGCAGTTATAAATTTCACACCACATTACTGGGTAAACCCTTTTGCGGGTGTGAAGTACAAGTAATAATATTATATATTTTTAATTATAACATGAAGTCATTTCTTAATCATTAGTAATCCATAAGTAAATTTGATAATATCAACTTACCACATATTATTGACTATGGCAGAGCCGTACTTGCCAATAATAATGGTAATATGTAAATTAGTATAATGTTATATTTAGTATATTCATACCACATATTCTTGACTATGGCAGAGCCGTACTTGTCAAAAATAATGGTAATATGTAGATTAGTAAAATATACTGAGTTTATGTAATGTATATACATATTAGTATATTCCTACCTTTCGGACTGGGTAGAGCGTTCGTGCTGATAACGTGTTATAAAAACGAGAAAGATATAGAACACAAAATAGAAACCGGATAGAAATTATACTGAATATTTCTTTTTCTTCTGAATGAGCACACTTTCACTACATTTGCATTGCCTTTTATAGGCAAATTCTACCGACACTTTGAACATAAATTATTCATATCCCATACTCCATTACTATTCACACATGTTGGACTCACTATTTATGAATAGTGGTACATTCCACTTGTTCATAACAAGTTTGAATATATCTTCGACCAAATTTCATCATTTGTTCTCGTTCTATCAGTAGTCCCATCAGTCATGAAAAAAGAAGGTCATGCACTCGTACAGTTAAGTTCGGCTCGAACATAAACGAGCAGAACTCGAGCTTCTTTAAAACTCATTCAGTTAAGTTTAGCTCAATAAAGCTCAAAAGATGATTTTTATATATTTTTCAATAATTCTACTCAACTTTAACTCGTTAAGGCTCGAGCTCGACTTGTTACTAAAAAAAAAAAGAGTCAAGCTCGAGCTAAATTATAAGCTCGTCGAATAACATGAGCTCAAGTTCGGCTCATTTACACCTGGCCACCTATCAAATTCTCAACAATCTAACAAATTCAAGCACATACTTGAGCACAAGGATTAGATAAATTATCTAGATAAATTATCTATTTACATGCTTCGAGTTCAAAACAAAATGCAATCACGTCAAGTATCAAAAAGTAGAAAATCTAACATTTACCAATAAAAAAAAAAAGTATAAAATCCAACCAAAAATAAAGTTCACTACACCCTACCACTAAAATTTATTTATATACAGAACCAAGTTCCCCAAAAAGCCCCATAACACACCACCCACACATGCAATAACACACGTCTACTCATTAAGCCATCCGGAGTTGCTCTGCGAATAAGAGCGATATGGGCCTGGCGCAAAACCCAAAGATCCCGGTTGAGACGATGCCGGCCTCGCACCACGAGGATGATACATTCCCGTCGCCTGACCGTGATTCATCTCGTCCAGACGAGACGCGTACCTCTGCATTGCAGATGTAGGATTGCCAGCTGGATTCGCCTGCCCGAAAGCAGACGGGAACTCGGGGCCCGCATAAGATGACGGATGAAAAGAGCCCCTTTGACCCAACAAATTGGGCTCCTCATTCATGTACCGAGACCCGTAAGGGTAACCATAATCGGGCCTTGGGCTGGGGCTCGGGCTTGGGCCAGCGACACTGCTCAAGCTGTACCTCCTCACCACATCATCCAATGTCTCGTTACCGTTGTACACAGTGGCAGCATCCTGAGGATAAGGCTGATGGTAGGTAGGGAAATTTGACTGTTGCCTTCCCGAGTAAATTTGCTGCGGATATTCAGGAAGATTGGGCGAAATTCTCTCGAGTGATCTGCGATTGGCCAAATTCGGCGACACGTGGCGTTTTCTGGCGTTCGCGTCCTCCTCACGGGACATGCTATCTGGTCGATTTTTCCTTTTGTTTTTAGCTCCTCCTCGCCTGTTGGTATTTCTTTCCCGGTTATTCTTGTCTGATGTTTTATCAACTGGTGCATTCTCCTGGTTGCTTGCCGTTACCTTATCTGCAGGTCCAATATTTTCGGGATTATTAACTGGAGCTTCAGCTTTAATCATCACAAGAGACTTGCCAAGATCATGAAGTTCCATGGTAGGATTAGGGACTTGATTATCTTTATGATTCTCCTCCAACTTAAGCTTTCTTTGCTGCTCGGCAATGGCCTTGTGCTTGGAGGTCCAACTTGGATGACTCCAGAGATAAAGAACAGGTGCATTCACGTTCCAGTCCTCGATTTGTTTGTCATTTACATCGACAGATCCAGGCAGATAAAATGCCTAAGATTAAAGACACCGTAAATTATATGATAAACACAGAAAAATACAGATGGAATTATTATACTTATGAAAGAGCACCAAACTTACCTTGCCAGCAAACATCTGATCATCCTCCCAAATCAGGTTATATCGACACTCTTTTGCGTCTAACCTGATCAGTACAAAGACATTAGAAACTCAGTTTTTCTAAAAAATATTTTATTTTCTTGTCTGTCTTACAATTTTCGAAGACAAGAAATCGAGAATAAAAATATACCGCTCAGTCTCTCTTGGAACAATGAGGATTAGTAACTTCGGTTTGAACTCGAGAGCTTTATTAATAAATTTGTTGGCAAGCGATGCATTGACTCCAAAAGGTGGGTTCAGGCCCATGATCTACCAAACAAATCAAATCAGTATTAAATGAATAATAGAAAGGCGTGAAATTTATATGAGTGCGTATAATAGTTAATCTCACCAGCTGCGACCCATTTGGCAACTCATCTGGTCTCACTTGCATCCAGTCTCTTTGCTCAAAATTAAAATCATTCTGAAGAAATAAACAGCGAAGTTGAGAACGGAACTGTATTTTTATTTTCAGCGGCTGAACACAAATATAATTCCATCTAATACATGCCTTGCCAGTAGAATTCTATTAACAGCCAATGGTTCTGAAAGCATATTGAGTTTTATAACTAATTTGCTTACAAAGTGTATGAAGCATTATCATCTTTTAGACATGCAAAACATCCATGGATGCTTAAATTTATTTATATATATAAAGAACAAAAGTAAGAAGAAGTCTCCCGTCAGCAAAGGTTTTGAAGATCCCGAGAAATCAAAGTTAAATACTAAGCTATTGCTCTAAAGGTAGTATGAAAGAACCGATTTCATACATCCACATCAATGGTGAAGCCACTCAAATTTTATAGCAACAGGTATAAAGAACAGATATTTCATACATCTAAATACCAAGATAAATTATTTGTAAGGACCATTAGACTGTGGAACGGGATGGTGCGGCTGTGGCAGTGATAAATTATTTTTACTCCAATGTTTTTCGGCTAAGCTTTGACTAGAATAACAATGCTTCTCTAAAAGAGCATTGACTATGGATCGATTTTTTTAGTCCCTCAAAAAAAAAAAAAAAATACAATGAAATGGATTCACCTTTGGCTGTAGGATATCGTAGTTTTTGAATGAGCAGTTCTTCCCCATTTCGTCAAGTTTCTTTTTCATAACGCAGCTGAAATCATTTGAACCGCAACAAAAATCAACAAGCTGCCAGAGGAAACAAAAAATGTTAGGCTCATATATCCATAAACAGATATTTGAAACACTGAAATCAGAAACCAATAATTTGGAAACAAGGAATGTCATCAATGATTTAGTATAGCTCAGATGCATTAGCCATTATTTTGTTAAAAAGAAATGAAAGACCACTAGTCAGTTGTATATCAGAATCTGTGCATATTTCTTAAGGACAGCAAACAATAAATTCCATCAAACTTAGAGTATCCTGCTCCAGCCCAGACAGTTGCCAAATAGACCTAATAGGTTACGTGAAAGGCCTGCAAGGTCCATTAAAGTGTTAAAAACCTAGTTTGGAATCCTCTCAAATCTCTTCACCCAATTGAAGGAAATAATGACACCAATCGGAACGGGCACTGAAAGCTGAAAGCTTGAGATAAAGATATGTAAACATGAAACACTAGAGAAGAAAACGCAAGTCTGCTGGCTGCTATGGATGTGGATAAAAGATGAAGTTTTTCAATTAGAAAAAGGAGGTCTCAGTTGAGAATGAGGAAAATTTATCAAATTAACAAGAAAATAAAAAAATGGCAGAGTGAAGAAACCAGACGAAAGAAATTAAACAGGTAATACTGAAAGAGGTGAAACAGCAAAGAGAAATAACAAGTTTGACCAATATGTTTACCTTAGTTAGTAATGCTATCTAAATTGCTGATTCTACAAGTCATCGATGCATTTCCTTGGGTGTTGACCTTGTACCGGGTATACTTAATACTCCCTTTCTTGCAAGACGATACTTCAACATACACTAATGTAATAGATTCCTTTTTAATTATATGCCGTCACTTGATAAAATTTTATCCCTTTCTCCACGGCTAAGTTGAATTATCCGGACTACAAGTATAGATCACTATGGTCTAGAAATAATATAAATAATACATTATATTTACCTACCAGTATGTCTACATTTTGAAAGAAAAATGTTGTCCATATGATATAGGATACTGATGGTAAGATTCAAGTCACGTACACCACCCAATGTTCACAAACTATAATAAAGAAACACCAGCAGAACATGTAAAATAAGGGAGAAGGACTTTGCATGATAAAACAAAAGATATGCACTGCAATCCAAGGGCTAAATAAAATAGAGGGAACATAGAACACAAAGGAACAAGTCTCTTTCATGAAAAGAACACAAAGGAACAAGTCTCTTTCATGAAAAACTGTTGACAGTGTATTACCATGTCACCATCTTGAACATAGGAATGGAGCATATCAGCTATCTGCAAGTAGAACCACCATGGCGAGAATATGTTAATTTCAGATTTGACAAAATAGAAGGAAATGAAAAATTATGATACATTCAAAGAAGGTAAGAAAAACAGTCAAAGAAGGTAAGAACAACAGACTACAACAGCAACACACTGGTTGTGTTGGTATGATGGGACCAAAACAAATTACTTCAATCTAACATCATGGATATTATTAAGAAAGGCCACCATATCTTCATTGTTCTCGAAAACAAACATGGCAGTGCTGATACAAAGAGTTACCAAAAGATTTTTCTACACACATCAAATACCAATGATCAAATTTTGTCCAACTTCCACTACAAACATATTTACTGTATTACGTGACTGTGCGTTAAATAAGATTGAATTTAATTGTTTCTAGCATTAAACAGTCATACTATGTAAGAAAAATAAACTTCCACAAATGAATAATAAGCAACAATGGAAACCAGATGAAAAATATGCCACGCATATTGGAAGATAGTATTTGTCTGCCTTTTTCTATCTATCGTGTTCCACAGTCATATTCATTTGTGTTGAAGAGCAATGCCCAAACTGGCATAAATCTGATAATTGTTCGGTAGAACATCTTTAAGGGAAACCATATTTTTCCATAAGAGAGATGGTATTGCATACAGCATATGTTTACACACATGAGAAACAGAATCATTACAAGTTAAACACTTGTCATAAGCATAAGACAATAAAACCAAAAAGCATAGCCCACTAGCATGTTGAGCACTTCTGTACACCCCTGAACAGCATATCCAATAAACAATCTCAAACCACATGTTTTGAGGCAGTAAACCTGATTTTATTCGAGGTAGTTCTCTAACAAATAGTTAACTCATAAAATGGCAAAACATAAACTGACCTCTTTTAGCTTATCCAATTTAGTGAAATGGCGACCAAATGATGTATAGCGCATGCCATATAGAAATGGAGCAAGATACACTTTCATCTTATCCTGCAGAAACAAAAAGAGCACACGATTATAACACATGCCTCAAAAGTAAAGCAATTCGTCCTCTCCAGAATAAGTAACAGACATCCATCTCAACGCAACAAGAAAAGTAGAGCATCATGATGAGTAGGCTATATTCAAAGATCAAACTGCTTTATTAAATCTTTTTTAAGCCAGCTAACACTCAGGAGGAATGTCCCCAAAAGAAAGCCATACATGTCTCAGGGGCGAGTAAAATTCTTTAAGCAACCCTACCACATAAAGATTGCAGCCACGTGTATTATAAGATTACAATTTGAACGTGAGCAGCCATACTACTCTAGACATCATATTTCCTGAAACCATAAACTCTTCTGATTGAAGAACCAGCGATGCATTGTGTAGTTCTAACACCCGACATTTTTGTCCTAAACATTTGGTACACCGCAGACGCCTCGGTAGACACCATAGGTTACTGAGACGGGTGCCTCTAACATGTCCTCGAGCACCCACGAGGCGCAGCACGGCAAAAAAAACTGTAGGAAACTCTATTTAGGCAAACTTTAGAGAAGTTCTAGGTTACTTTTTAATGCTTTTATGTGATCAGGAAAGTAAAATCTGACTCTTCCACCTCAAATGCAAATTCCAGCTAACAGGACGCAAAAATTATGTCTTGGGTTCGGGGAAAAAACAAAATTTACTCGAGGAATATTATCACCCACTGCTAATCGACACTACCAGACCTCAACAGATATATATAGCCTACCCTGAATGGTTTAGACTTGAACCTTGACGAACTTTGTCCTTGTGTTTACTTTCGTTGGTGGTTACTAGTTTGTAACTTTTAGTTGGCTGTTGGCTCGTGTATCAATGTCGTCTTTTGTTTGTGCTACATGCTAATGACTTGGGTGGTTGTATGCATGATCCATACTGGAAGTTCCTATTGCAATTTGAACTTAAATATGTATAATGGATAATTTGTTTTAGGTTGATTTTAAAGTCACCTCATGTTGACTAGGCACGGCGTGAGATTGCCGTAGCTCACCTTTCGCCATTAACAACTATGATCCCAAAGTAATGTCTATGTCAAGCTACTGCATTCCAAAGCTTACACCTTGCAAGAAGGTTTATCATCACCTTCTTTGATATCTGCTAGCCACAATACTGAAACTTTTCTATTTCACAATCTTCCCTGAATTTCTTCCTCAGACAGTTTCAAGTTTCACTCATGAGGTTGCACTAAACAGAATCCTAGTTTGCAGCATGCATTCTCACAGTATCCAAAAACAAGGGCAAACCTCGTTCAACAACTTTAATGATATGTCCAGGCACACTTCTTAAAATTTCAAAGAAATTCATTATGTAATTGGTCCTTTGTGGCATGTAGTAATTTAGACAATCCTCAAAAATATACTTTTTTTGTAAACTGTTGAGACCTATATATATTTTATTACTCGCTTCAAGTCTGATATACCAATGGCATCCAAATTTAATAGAACACAATTGTATTCACACTAGCACATCTAATATCCATCTTCAGAATTTTATTAGATTCTCTGAAAATAAATATATGTTTGACACTTAACATCATGTCAGCATCAGCAGCCTCCCCAACCACTTCACAGATGAAATCATAGTTTTCTACATTGTTCAACAATATCTCAGATTCAGCCTGGATCACCAGCTGAGTGAGACTGGAGGTTCTGCAGGTAACTAGCGATTTAATGACTATTCTCAAAGAAGCTGTTTACGTTCAAGTTGTTGCATCATGTTGTAGTTATGTAGTCAAGCCATTAAGGATGTTCTTAACAATATTTCACAGTAACAAAATAAAAGAACTCATGGATTACGCACAATGGATTGCATGATGATGTTTAAGTTCACAAAAATAAAAATAAAATGGTCCAATCAATAGAATCAGTTATGTGATTAACTATATAATAATATACCAAAGGGATTGAAATCCATTGTCTATAGACAAAGAAATATGCCAAAATGGAAAGTTCAGTTCCATCTTGAGCATTTACCTTCCATCTCGACATCTGGACGAGAAGATCATTCCCACAAATCATTCTGGCATCCTGAATACTGCCTCCTCCTTCTAATGTTTTCAATGCAGCACGTAAAGACTGCACATTAAGAAGTATTAATTTCCTATAAGAATAAAAAATATCAACATTCCTGCAGAATTGAGCTCATACCTGAATAGAACCCTCCACCTTTCCCAATGTAACATTGTCCACAGAAAAATTTGAATTGTGAGTATGTGTTGATGGTGATTTATACTTTTCTTTAACTTGTTCAAGCGTCAATGACGATGAAGCATCCTTCATCAATTTAAATATTCTGCGGGAAAAGCACTAAATTTAAATATTTTTGCCATTTCCCTTAATGAATCTAATAGATATTTTGTTCAAATTTCTAGGCACTTGCTTAAATATTAGTGTACTATAGAAGTTCAGGAGGACAGATAAACACAAAGATGGGAAGAATGGTAATAAATCATGTAAATTGACAATAAACTGCATCACCTTTTTTTGGTATCAGCATCAATAGTGAAAGGATTATCTATTCTCCTGGCTGTAGGCTTAGCCTGAGTTTTCTCATCTCCACCATGAACACCAGCCCCTTCACAGACTTTGTCTATTTCAGAATCCATTGCATAAAAGGTTGAATATAACTTGTTTCCTAGAGACATCTCCCTTTCATTAATCATATGTCCCTTCAGCTTCCCCACATCATTCTTATTTGTAGCTCTTTGCATTTTGATAGTCCTTCCAGCAAGCGGTTCCTCCGCTCTTCTTCTAGATATACCACCTTGCTTTGAACCGGAAGACACCTTGGATAGTCCTTTTAGTGGTTTCGCAGGTATTACCTTCTCCGAAGTATTTCCGAAACCGAGACTTCCTTTCTTCATTTGATTCTTCTTAATACTATATTCCACTGGTACCTTGTTCTTTTTCTTGCGCTGGGGACCTGGAAATTGGATATGGTCTCTGACAGGCGTAGAAAGCTCCAGATCGATTTCATGATCTCTGAAGACAGGTATAAGATAATGTCAGAACAATATTTTAATATTCCAGATAAAATGAAGCTAGGAATAATCATGTCTCACAAGCAGTAAATTAGTAAACGGTTTTTAATCAATCCATCCCAAGCTCTTTGTACAATTCCTCGGTTAGGGTCACCTTCCAGTCCAATCCCCCTGTCAACAGATCCACAATTCCAAATTAAAAAAATAAAAAGATTTATAAAAAAACTCTAAATAAACTAACAAGAATGATATAGTGCACCTTGGCAAACATTTTCTATGGTATACATGCGGACAACGGCGGCAAACAGCGAATTGCAACTCATAAATATCCCTCGCTTCTAATTCTTTACATACATGACACCTGTGAGCAGGGCATACAAACTTTTCACCCGCATCAATCTTTTGCTTTTGCTCCTCTGCTGCTGCCTCATTCCCGGGATGGAGAAGTTTTGCAACACAATGAGGATGATAGAAGTACCCACAAGCACCATTAACACAACAGAAAACCTGCAGATGAGACGCAAAATATTGCATTACGGAATGCACCCAACGGCAGTATTAGTCGTTAAGAAAATTGCAAAGTATATTGTAGTTTTTCAAGAGAAAGAAAGAAAGAAAATAATGAACAGAATTGAAGATTAAGAGATAAAGGTAACTCAGGAATCAGACTAATTTAGAAATATTGATGTATGTGTAAACACCAAAAGTGTGGAAAATATATTAGGCACAACACTTTTAACTAACCTAAAATGGATCTGATACTGAAGTCACGCATCATAGTACCAAAGGAATTGACAGAAACATCAAGGGGACGTTTGTTTATAAATTTTTCCAATTCATACTCAAATCATACACAAAATCTAACTCAACTTCAACTCAACCCCACTATCCTCAATATTATCAATACAACAACAACAACGACAAACCCAGTATATTCCCAACAGGTTGGGGTCTGGGGGTCAGTTGTACGTAGACCTTATCCTTGTAATTATATAAGGAGGTTGTTTCCGTAGCGACCCAAGGTGCATTGCGCTGTTTGATATATTTTTTTTTCTAGAAACTTCACTAATAGAAAAAGCACTAGAATTTAATTGAGTCATTTTGATCTAGTCCAGCACTATGTCAGGAGAATTGTCAACAATGACTCTTCCAGCTCCATTTGCAATGGACAATATTATCAATATAATTAAATATAATCAAACAATCATATCAACTTTAATTCACTATTCATCCACTCACATAATTTTAATAACCCATCACTTCACATCATTTCTTCCTACTTTTTCATCAAATTAGATTTAATTATTTTATTTTAAATATTATTTTAATATAAACTCAAAATCACTAACAATTAATCATACCAACTCTTCAAGATTAACTCTGGTTAACCAAAAAAACTCGTTTTAAGCTGATATATTTGTATTCAAGAACGCCCCAAGGCTCTGTAAAGCTAGCCGATAGCTGGTTGTATCAATTGATTGCAGTTTGCAAATGAACATTTGGTAAATAGCTCGAAGCTTATAGCTGTTATGTTTCAGTATTTTTTGTGAATCCTCCCTACCCAAAAAGTGCTCTATTGACCTATTTTAGAATTAGCGTTTGGGGCCCAAAAAACTAATCAAACAACCTCTTTACAAAACGAGCTAATTAGCGGATTCGACAAGCTAATCCTCGAAATGATGTTCAATACGCTAATTTAACAACAAAAACTTCTCCAAAGTATTTCTTGAATTTTGTACACCAAAACAAATCTAAAGAAAATAAATTGAATCAGATTACTGGTGTTATTAGGAAATAATTATCTCCATGTTTACACAAAAGCTGTCTAAGTGGAAGTGACAAGAAAAAAAGAAGAAAAAGAAGAAGAAAAGGAAAGTAAGAAAGCAACTGAAACAAGAAAATTTTAAATTAGCCGACGAGCTTCATATCCAGCCTCATAAAAGTTGAATTAGATTGGACGTCTCTAATAGAAATTAGATACTGAGTGCTGCTTAGTCAAGGATAATAGACCAAGGTGTCTTCCCCACAATACAAAGAGTTAGTGAGCACTTAGTCAAAAAGCGTGAATGATGGATACCTCGGGACTAGAAGACTCATCAGAAGACCCCATTTTCCCGCAAGCAAAGCACTGATGCTGCTTATATTCACAATTCTTACAAATAAATGGAACATCTTTAATCGCCTGAAGTTAAAACAGAGACTCATCAGAGCCAATTGAGCTGAAGCAGAAACCACAAGGTAGTAACTTAACAACATCAGACATAACAAAATTGAAAAACATACTTCGAGTTCTTCCTCAGTAAAACCCAAAGATTCACAGTGTGATTCTGATTCTTCACCAGCTTCAACAGTTGCATGGAACGACCTCATACACTTGCCGTCGCAGCTAATTCAGATCACAAGCCATTTACACAAACAAAACGTATTATTTAATTTCAAAAGACACCCCTAAAATACGTAAATGTGCCAGAACAGTTTATATAACTCAAGATGAACACGGGAGTAAGAGCGGTACACATCTAGATAAGTTGAGCATGGAGAGAGGAGTGCACAAAATTGTAGCAAAAATTAAGAATGAAAATATTAATGGCGATAACTTTCCAAATAATTACCAGACATCAAGATTATCAATGATGCATAATAAAGAAACTCAAACGTGCAGTAGAACTTGTCCAATACTTCTGACAAGGAAATGTAACTGATAAGACGCCATTCTCAAACAAAATGCTTCAAAAAATAAGATGCAAACGGCCCAACGAACACTCATCAGAGTCCCTCGAATATGTCCCGTTTCAGGGCAGGATCATAAATATACGGTTTCTAGAAATGTTCACCATTTAAGCCATGCTTTCTCACATGGTTGAATAGAGTTTCCCAAATCAATGAAAACATAGACATTTGACATAATAAAGTATATGAAAGAAACTGCAGGGTGGAAGCAATCATTATCAATAGTGCTATACACTATCTGAACTCCAAGACTATGCAAAATTTAGTTTGGAATGCATTTGAAGAATTCTTGGGAGCAATATTTAGTGGAATTGGAAACTGAGTCATAACTAAATCTTGAAAAATTATGTGTTCTGTAATTTTCATTTCCTCATGTAAGCAATATAGAGTGGGAAAAGTGTGGCATTTCAGTGGTAGCTCAAAGGCAAGGATTTGTAGTAACAGCCAAAACCAAGACCAAGATACCTGGTTTATAAAATTGTCTCAAACAAGGGATTACAGTGCAAGAGAGACCTTGTAATGTGGTAATACTGACACAGACGAGGCACCTACTTTTTTCTAGTGTACTTTCGTTTTCAGTCTATTTAAAATAACTCTATACATACTCTGCCTGTCCAGCTCTATATATGTTTAACACAAACACCGCAATAAAATAACAATTCCTACACTCGTTGGGTCAATACAGAATAACTGTGGAACTCTATAAAGTTAATGAGCAACTTCTATGACAGGACTAACGAGCAATTAGTTAAAAATAATGACAGCAGATACATACATTAATATGTTACCACCATTATCACAAATGGCACAAACAGAGTCAAAACAATCATCCTTATCATCATCTCCACTGTCATCAGGATTGTCCAAACCTTGCTGATTATCGGCGTCCCCATTTTCATCAGTCTTGTCAGATCCCTCCAAATTATCATTTATAAAAGGAGGCTTCACAATCTAGCAAGCAGCAATTTTTTTGATCAATATTACTATAATGAAGTGAGGTCGCTCACAATATATTATTACCACTGTAATTGAAGGTTCATGCGTGTGAGAGAGAGAGAGAGAGAGCAACCTCATTTATAATTTTTCTTTTTGAACGCTTTTCTTCGAGCAAAGTATTCACAATCTGTTGAGGGAAAAAATGTTATCATAGAAAAAGTTACCAGTACATGCAGGTTGATGAGGAAACTAATTTGTCTAAATAAATCACCGTTAATTCTGAATAATCATCCATCATAAAATAGACAGTCAACAATATAAATCTTTGGTTATGTTCACTATAATGATATTACCTAGTGCTTGAACATTATTCTAGATAGATGTAAGGATCAATATAATTAGACTTGACATAAATATATATTGAATCTACAGGCTAACAGAACATCTCTTCACCTCCACATCACACGCCCATACATTTTGATATGTGGGTAATGAATATTATTCCCATACACTTAATAATATTGCAAAAATATTGGCCTCACATCATCTAGTAGTATCATCTACTCCAATAATGATGAAGAACAGACCTTGGAGTTCGCCAACGTGTCATCCCGCTTAACAACTTCTTTAATTAAAGACAAGTGGTTTACCAGATCATCCTCAGAAGGCCTTTTATCAAACATGCTACAAAATTAAACGAAAGTTTGAGAAGAGTGAGCAATGAAGTAATATATTAAAGCAAGTTTCATATTAACCTGAAACATCTATTAAGATGATCCCACAAAGCTTGTTGTGATTGCTGAGGATTCCGCTTTGAAAAGTGTAGAAGTTGCAATGTGATAAGAATTGTTCTGATTATGCCCTCAAAAGGTTTTCGTGGCTTCAGAAGCTTGATCCAGTTTTTCTCTACTGACAATACTGAGATCTCAGGCTTATCAAAGGAAAGATCGAACTTCCAAGCAATAACCTGCTTATAAATTTTACGAAGCCCATTATCAGTTCTGCCAGACAAAAAGATCTGATCATTTGTTTTTTCATGCATCTCGCCTGAATTCCACTCCACCGGTAATGAGGCAAATGAAATTGACTCATTATCACCAGAAATAAATTCGTAGTCTGATACATTCTCTGGAACCATTTCACCTTCATCATCTGAAGATGCCATTTCTTAGTTATGCTCCCACGTCCAAAATTACTTGTTCTCTCAACCTAACATGTTTACAAGGTAAGAGAAATACAAAGCACAAACGATAACACAACAAAACAGGGAAAAAAATGACAATACCAGAAGATTACAAGAAAATATTAAGAATTCAAGTCCTACTTTCAGAATTATGGGTTCTCTCAGAGGCCAAAATCTAGCTTATGCATAAAAACGATGGACAGACCCCTCTTATGACTTATCTCAATTTAGTTTCTAAAAATTCTAAAACAGATGACTAAGAAGACCTCAAATCATTCAACTGCCAACATCTGCAGAGAAAGAAAGGGGAGATCAGGGACTTTGAAAGAAGATCAGGAACTTTGAAAGTGCAGGTTAGCAGCACTTTGAATAAAAAAAAATACTAAAAATAAAATGAGAGAGAGCATGCACATATATTGTTGAATGTTTGTACAACACAATATATTGATGCCTATAAGAAGGAACACATGTACCACCATGTAAAAAATAAATCTGCAACTTGGTCCAATCTGTCTTTTTTTTAAATAAAAAAAAAAAAAAAAAAAAAAAAAAAAAAAAAAAAAAAAAAAAAAAAAAAAAAAAAAAAAAAAAAAAAAAAAAAAAAAAAAAAAAAAAAAAAAAAAAAAAAAAAAAAAAAAAAAAAAAAAAAAAAAAAAAAAAAAAAAAAAAAAAAAAAAAAAAAAAAAAAAAAAAAAAAAAAAAAAAAAAAAAAAAAAAAAAAAAAAAAAAAAAAAAAAAAAAAAAAAAAAAAAAAAAAAAAAAAAAAAAAAAAAAAAAAAAAAAAAAAAAAAAAAAAAAAAAAAAAAAAAAAAAAAAAAAAAAAAAAAAAAAAAAAAAAAAAAAAAAAAAAAAAAAAAAAAACCATGATTGACAACATCCCCATCCGGAACTTGTAGAAAGAAAATGAAGATTGTAACTTGGGAATCTAGCAAAGCACGCTATGTATAAAAGTGTGCAGGACCAAGTTTGAATTGAGCGTATTTTTTACTGCTCTGTCGAGCCCTTTAAGGCCAAAATTAGCTACTACTACTACTACAATTAAAGAGGCCTACAATACTACCAGTGACGTCTTAACCAAGCAGTATTATTAATGACGGATGGTGGTACATGGTGGTTTGCCAAAATTCCGCCACAGTAACCACCATGACCGCCATCCTTCACAAATTTTGCGTGACGGATTGTAAAAAATCCGCCACGCCATACTTCCATGGTGTCGCCGTGGCCGCCATTTGATAACACTATGATCAAGGCAAAGAATAATCTTTGAGAAGCCTGATTCGGAAAATAACAGATGATGATGTGCATGCTGCAACTTTTCATCCTCATGAGTTCATTATGTGAGTTGGTTAAAAATGACCCTTTCCTAAAGGTTTCTTTGTGCAATTAGAAATAGAAGAATAGTAATTTCTATTGGCAGACTTCATCCAAACCAGCATATTTGGAAACTAACCACTAACCCAAATTTTGATCAATGTTCGTATCAACACCAACTCAATGAAACAAAATAAACAGGCTAAATTTAAACAAAAAAGTATATATATATATTGAAACTAATGCACTTAAAAATTTAAAATAATGGAATAGATTCAGCAATATTTGCTAGATGGCAAATAAATTTACACATATTTCAAATGGATAGTTAATATTTTTTGTTACCAAGTATGCTGGTACTAATTAATTTACTCAGTCGAAATTGATGTGCAAGTGTGTATCAGTCAAGCACATACTGATAAACAAAAGCTTGAACAGACATAGAATACAACTTGTATCAATCAGAGTGATGACTGATGGGTTTTGCTTAAAACGGTTATAAAATCAGCTTCACTTGCATATGCATCAAAAAGTAATGTAATCATCCAATTCAAGCATTATCATAATAGTTACTTCGTCAAAAAGATGGCAAAACTCAATTAAAAACTACGGAATATGGGTTTGCATTTCGTAACATAGAAAAACAAACGTTTAGACCAGAGAGAATGATTCTTGCCAATAGATTGGAATCTCCGCAGTGACAAGCGAGGTGTTTGGTGGTCGCGGTGGTAACGGCTACGTTAGCTACCGGAGCGTAGAAATTGGTTTGTGAATGCAATTAGAGCACTGCTTTTCAACTTTAATTACATTAATATAAAATTAGGGTTGACGGTGGAGTGAACAGGCCTGGGCCCGAAGTTTGTGTGCGCTTACTATAGTTTTTAAACCAGGCCGGGAGTCCGATTCATAAGGCAGGTATATGGTATAAGGCTGTTCATTGGTCAACCGAACCGAAGTACCAAAACCGAACTAACCGAATTACTATCTGTCCAAAATTCAACCGACCGAAATATGTTCTTAAAACCGAAGTATAACCAAACCGAAGTATTCGGTCTATTCGGTCGGTTAACCAAACGTTTACAAAAAACATTTTTTTTCCTTATGTGCCCGCTGGGTTTTAGAGAGAGCGTGAGATAGTTAGTAGCTAGTCCAACTTCCTTTTCTCTGAAAGCCATGACAGGATGTTAGGTCTAGTATTTGCTGGGCCCAAACACAAAAAATTATTGTGAACATGATACTAACATCCAAGTGAATAACACAGATTCAACTTTCAGTTGTGAACATGATAAAATTATTGTAGTCAGTAAGGACAAACTGTATATAGACCAATCCATCTACTTCACTTTCGATCATACAAGAGCATAAACATGGCCCACTTAAAGAAAATAAAATCAAGACACTTGGAAGATCAATTCTACCTTTATTACACATCCCTTTTGTTGTGTGTAAACTGCAAAGATTATCTAAGCATACCCACTACACAATTACTTCAGGAAATAGAATCAGAAAATAAAACATACATGAACCAATTAGAAAAATAAACCAAAAAAGATTTTTACCTTGACCGGACCGGACCGAACTATGGGGCGATTTGGGGCGGAGGCAGAGCCGATTTGCAGCGGAGGCAATTTGCAGCAGAGGCGTGGCCGCGTGGAGCAAAAGATTTGGACTGGAGCGATTTCGGGCGGAGGAGCAGATGAGAGGCGGAGAAGCGATTTTGGGACTGGAGCGATTTGAATCTGAAAGTTTGCACTCTCTCTGCCTTTGTATTCTACAAGTGCGGTACCCGTGCCGGGCTAGTATTATTAAAAAAGCATTTAGGTTTGGATATAGATGATTGGTGAGAACATAAAATCTATATCTATATATATATAATTGCTAGTTAAGCAATAAATTTTACCTAATAAATAAAACCTAATAAATTTTACCTATGTGGCAAATCATTAATAAAATCTAATAAATAGAACCTATAAAATTTTATTTATGTGACATTAATACTCTCAATCTCATTAATAAAAAAATGTTTCATTACATTTTTTTGGGTTAATTAAGACAAAAACTATTATATTCTATGTTAATTGATTAATAATTATATTTTTTATTGAATAATATAATAGTTAATATTAAAATTAGTAATTATATTTTAAACTAAATAATATATGAAAGTTACATAAAATTATATTTTACACTAAAATCAATATTTTTAATATGATGAAGCGGTTGTTTATTAATAAATTATTTTTTTATGTCATAGTAAAATTTCTTAAAATCACATAAGCAATTGTTATAATAAATGTAATATTTTTCAGCTAATTAATTGGTCATGATCACTCAAAATTATAAAATGTATATATTTATTACATTTTATGCAATCAATATAGTGATTCGTATACAATCAAATCGTGTGTACTATTTATTTTAACCAATGATCAAATTTTAAAATATAATACTATTATATAATTTATAATTTTAATATTATATACATAAATATAACTTATAATATTATATGTTTGAAATATAAGACAATTATATAACTTATAATTTTTATATGATATACATAAATATAACTTATAATATTTAATTTTATTTATATCTGTGCAAATGCACAGGGTCAAATACTAGTTGGAATAAAACAAAATGAAATTGGAATAAAACAAAATGTTAACTACTGCGGTAACCGTGCGATATACGGTCTAGTATTATTAAAGGAAACGTTTAAATTTGGATGATTGGATGATTGGTCAGAACATAAAACGCATGTATTGTAATAAAACAAAATGTTACTTATATATTATTAAACACCTCCTTGTACACAACATTATTTGTTTAGTTTTTTGGTACATCGTCATCACCTTAAAATAAAATTTCTTACCCTAACATTTCGTAATGCATGCAACAACTACATACAGCTGACTGTGACTGAATATTGGTCTCTTCAAGAACAGACCGACATGCGATAAAGATTGACTCTTTTACTTGTTTATCGTCATAGCATAAGAGCACATCATTGGGAATTGTCTTCGCCTGGAATTTGAAAGTATCCTAACATCAAAAGGAGTTAACATCACCCACGGAACCAACACGTTCTCACGTGAATGATCTCAGTGAGGATGTATAATCAAGAGCACTTGAATTACTTCTTGACTTTACATTATTGTGTTGGTACATATATATGGATCATTGAATGGCCATATAGATATTGTATCTACAACAGTAAAAAATATGGAAAATAAATAAACCTGAGAAAACCTCAAATAGTTAATGTTTTCTAATTAATGCCAGATTTTTTGGAGAAAAATAGTAGAAAAAAATATATTAATACCTAAAGAGTTTATAATCCGACGGATCTATAAATTTTAAAAAATACACAAAGATAAATGTGCGAAATATACACATGATGATTTTGTTAATTTAATTATTTTTGTTATTATTTTTTACAAATAGATATTAAATATTAATATGTATAGATGGAAATAAAATATATATAGACCATTATAATAACCGATTCATTGATGTATGATAAAAATGTAAACATTCGTAGTTGCAAATTGATTATATTCTTATAAGTTGTAACACATTTCATTATTTAATTGTTTTGCATGTTTGGAACGACATTTAATCATTTTGGATAATGCAAGTTCAAGCTTCATGATAATCTTAGCAAGTGTAAAACAGAGGTAAATGAAATTGGTTGTATTGTTCTAGCACATTTCTTTGTTAATTGTTTTGCTTAATTTTAGTATTATAGATGAAATTAAACACATAATTCTAATGTTTTTGTTAACGGTCGTAANGGGGTCGGACCCCCGGTGGGCCATGACCATGCACCGGGGACCCATGAACTTCCATAGTGCTCTTGCCCTAAGGTGAAAACCCATCTTTGGTCTCTTTGTGGTTTTTGTCTTTTCCCAGACTCGAACTCTGCACCCTGAGCATAAGGTAAGGTTCATGGCAAGTCTGGTACCATTCCACTTGATACTCTCGAACTCTGCAACAATTTTTTTTTTTATGCATGGAAATCTCGATTGAATTCCTACGAAGACTGGGCATTAACTGCTGGGATTAATATTTATACAGAACTGCTGGGATTAATATTTATACAGAAAAAGGTAATATCAAATAGGAATTTCTAACATGACATAGGCAGATTATTCAACAATATATACATGAAATTCAGATAAACTACTTTATGCACATAGTAATTTTATGTTCATGAAAAAATAAGTATAAAAACTTGCATACAATTATTGTATTATACATATAATAAAAGTAAAAAAATAAACTGAGTAAAAAATATTACTTGTTTTAGTTTTTTAATCCATTATGCTTCTGCTGATTCTTATTGTATGATTAGTATTATGTTGATCTATAGCACCATATTTTTCCATGCTTGTACTTTCCTTCTCTTTCAATGTTCCCAATTCCAGCCAATTTCAAAATAGTTATGGTAGATGTTGCCAAAAAACAATACGAGTTTTAATCATGGCATTTAATCAAACAAAGGAGATAAAATACGGAGAAAAGTAAAATCGATATACTGATTGCACCTTTGTGGCGTTGTTGGCTTATAGGAATAAAAACTGATATTAGGTTTATATATGATGTTGTGCTTATCGGATTTGTTAGATATATGTTAAAAAAAAATCGGATTTAAATTTAATTGTATCTCTTTAGAATTTTTTATGAGTAAATGTTTAAATTAGTCAATGGGATATTGTTGAATAATTTAGATATGTGTGTTGCCATAATACAGAATAGATAAGTTTTTGACTATGGTTGACAACATATTTCCGCTTTAAATGCTCACGCGGTTTGAGAAAATTTATATTAACATGTTTTAGTAAAATACATAATATTAGGAATCCACTTGATTTTTACAACCGACCATAAGATTCTCTCGGTGTGAATGTGTATTGTTTACTCAGTTATTTCATATTTTTCCTTGTAAATAATGTCATTTACTTTAATCTGCTTATTAGAACAATGCATATAAACTTTTAATTCTTATTTATGTATGAATGAGAATGGTGTGTTGTATTTACTTCTTGTTATTTTGTTTATTTGTCTTATGAGATGTCATTTACTTTATAAAATCAGTCCAGATGAAAAAATATTGTGTGATTCGAATTCCATCCAAAATGGAATTGCAAACAAATATAGTTTTAAATTAAGCATAAATTCATGTGATTGAGTAGTTACCATTTCAGTAGAGATATTTAAATTTTAATTTGAACAGAACCCTTCATTTTAGGAAGTTCAAATTTATAAAAATGTGATTGTGGCTTTTGAAATTTGAATCAACCCATTCATGTATGCAATCCAATTTTGAATCGAAAAAAATAATAATAATAAAAAACTGAAATACATATGAGTAGAGATTTGAACAAAATCCTTTAAGGAATAAAAATGATATATTAAATTGAAACATAAACATTTCAGCCGCAAGTCATAATAAATTAGACTAATTTTCAAAAGTGAATTGAACAAATACCACATTGTTTGGCAAATTTGATATAGCCGCATATTTGAATTTGAAACGAACTAATCACACAATTTAAGGACATCATTTATTTGACATAAATCAGCTGCATATCTGATTTTGAGATGAACTAATCCCACAATTTAAGGGCACTATTAAATGCTGCTCAATTTTACTAAATAAAATAATTAAAAAACTTTTCCAAATTGGTAAGTACTAGTACAGTACCCGTGCGATGCACGGGACTTTATTATTTCCGTCATTTTTAAAAGGCAATTTAGTATTTAAATTCAAATTATATAATAAAGCACCGATCATTGATTATAATTAAACCTAACAAATACTTATTATAAGATACGTGTAATTATTTATATTAATCATGTTGGACTTGTATAATAGGAATGTTTTTGAAAAATATGGGCTTCAAAAAGTTCATATCGGCCCAATTTACAATGTTGGCTTCGAAAGTTCATATCGACCCAAACAAAATAGAAAAAATAAACCAATGATCCAGATTAGTCAACACAAATCGACGGTTTAGATTACACTGAACATAGTATAAATAGTGAAATTATCGGACCAATGGCTTCATTTCTTCCTTCATTTTTCGCCGCTTCCAGCTTCTTCTTTCGTCTTTTTTCATCAATCTTCTTCCAATGTTTCCGTTCTAACACTGAAGGTCTTATAAATACATATTCTTTTTTAGTTTTCATTTAATCGATGCTTTAAATTAGTTTTTGGTGTTTTGCACGAAACAAAATATGGATTGTTCAATTTGCAGGTTTTTATTTTCGATTTTTGTAGTTTTATGTTCGAATTTTTTGATTTTACAATTAATCAAAAGAATCCTTCAAATTTGAGTGTGCGCCGGTAGATTTTGTTAATTTTAGTTGTTTTGCCAGAAAATAAATGTAGAATTTTTAATTTTAAGGTTTCTTTGTTCGATTTTTGTACTTTTATGTTTGGATTTTTTGGGTGTTTATTGTTGATAAACGGATTTGATCAACGTTCACAATGAAATATTAACGTAAAAGATTGCAGAAAATGAGATTTTTTGTTGAATATTTCGAAGTCGGTTTTAATACAAAGAGATCGGTTTTTTATGAATTTCAAGTCGGTTTACAATGAGATATCCGCGGTGAATATATGAGCGTGTATGATCGATTTTCGAACCCTTCTCTCGTTTTCGGAACTGCTATTTATAGGTATGTTTGGCACACATCCCTAGACAAATCATTCCCGTTTTAATGAAGATTTGACATCTTAGGGGCGGCGATGACGTAGAAGAACCTTGTAGGTAATGATTAGCATGG